CACTGCCAACGTACTGAGGTTGGCTCCACCACTTGCCCACTTGCCTCTGCCTAAACGTGAGCCCACTTCGAAAGGCCACTTCCGGGACCTTCCGGAAGTCTGTAGACTTGACCTTTCGGGTACTGTAGCAGGATCCCTGCAGCTACGACCTCTACGTGGCTGTGACTCCTACTCGACAGACCTACAGATCGAACCCCTACCACTACACAGACCTACGACAGACAACAACAACTGTCAAAACACAGGTCACGGGTTCAAACACTCGGGGTCGACACAGATACTGTACACAGGTAAGGTGAGAACTAGGGATCGAGCCCTGGGATCTGCATTCGCTACTGCTAAAAGGTCAAAACCGTTTCACTCCCACCGGCCTAAATTCGAGGTCCTCCGAGAATAACTCAGTCCAAGGCAGGACCTTTACCTTTCTTACTTCTCTCGTAGGCTATAACGTCGCCAATTCCCTGGCGAAGTCCTGGAGCCCCAGCCGTATAGAGCGCGTCGCCAATTCCCTGGCGAAGTCCTGGAGCCCCAGCCGTATAGAGCGTAAGGCAATGTCCTGACCTCTACCAAACAGATATTGCTCTTCCTGGACCTGTGCCAGGCGCTCTATGTTTCTCGCCATGATCTCCATCTTCCCCAATAGGTCCACCTGCGTTGCCATCTGCTCTCCGCTAATTCTTTTGCCGCCTGGTTTGCCGCCTCCATTCTTCTTTTCCTCTCCCTCGGCAATCGGAACTTCCACTCCATGTCCTCTTCTCATCTTCTATGGCCTGCCGCTTGAGTGGGTCTTCTTCTGCATCCCACTCTCTCATGGCCGCCTCTTGTTCTTCCCTGGGCACATACATTAGGACCTCCTCTTCTTCTCCTAGGGACAAACCAGCAACCCACTCCGTAATCTTCTTCTCCATCTGGTCTTTCCTTTGTTCCACTGGATTCTCCACTCTCTCTTGTCCTTCGCCTTTCCAGTGGCTGTTCTTCTACCTCTTCCTCCTCTTCTACCGCCCTGAGCTTCTCTTCTTCCTCTCTTTTGGATCTTTCGTTCTCTCTGGCCATCTCCTCCTCAATCTTTCTCAACTTCGCCGCCTGTTCCTCCATCAGGGCCTTCTTCTTGGCCTCTTTCTTTTCTCTTCTCTCTTTCAAGGTGGCGGCCACTTTCACCTCCTGTTCTACTGTGTAAGGGGAGGTGCTCCGGCCACTACGCGTGTCAACCATGGTGATAGACGCACAACCAAGTGACGGTCCCTCTCCTCACCACTTAGACACTCCCCCTAACTGACTCAACTTAAGACTGACTCAGTCTATGTACCACATGATCCATATGGAACCCTGTCAACTATGGTCTCTAGCCTAGAATCTAATACTACAGCCGTCACTACAGGATCTGTTGCTGACCAGGAGGCATTTAAGGAGATCCCTCGTAACTCCTCAAAATTCTTTAACGTCGCAAACAGGACAACGCAGTCAGCAGATCCTCTCAAGACTTAGACGGCCAGTCGTGCAGCCCACAACTCAGATTTTGGGCCTACCGTGCCACACCGAGAAGCCCGCCAGTTGGTATCGGTCCTTGGGAGGGTTCGTGTCCTCCGGGACAGTCGCCTCGTCAGACACAGTCTTTAGCCCTACTCAGCCCGTGTGGGTTTGGTCAACGAGGCCCTATCCTTCATACATGGAGTCCTACCACCTGGACAGAAGAGACTCAATGCACAAAGAAGAGACAGACAAACTCAAACTCAGCAAGTACCATAGCGTGAGTGCACATCCATAGGGCGAGGGGATAGGCTAAGGGCTCGGCGAGATTCTACCAACTCCAGCTTGGTGAAAATCGTGGTCAACAGCTCCGGTTAATGCCTCGGTCAACGCTTGGTCAAGGCGGTCACACCCCGATCAACGCTACGGTCAACCCTCTGGTCAACGCTTGGTCAAGGCGGTCACACCCCAGTCAACACTACGGTCAACCCTCTGGTCAACGCCCGATCAACCTCTAGGTCGGCTATGGCTGCCGGCACCTTCTTCCTCGCCAACCTCCCTTCTCTTCCTCCTCCACTTTTTTTCTTTCTCGCCCTCTCTCTTTTTTTTTTTTTTTTTTTTTCCCCCCCTCGGCTATGTTTGTCTTCGGCTTCGTTATCCTTCCTTCCTCCTCCCTCT